CATTGGACTTGCACACTTACGTGATGCTACGCTACTGCACGTTCTCTGAAGAAATTTGTTTTTTCCAATCTTCACAGAAAAGTGAAGACTTTGGTGGGGTCAGAGATGAATCCATCTCTGCGACGTCGTTGTTTCCAATATGTGTGGAGATGTAATCTCCAAACTTGTACACCACTGGACATGCTGAAAGAGCTGGCAAAGTTGGTGAAAAACAACGACGCCGACAACTGCTAAAAGAGTTGAAAAGAGACGTTTTGATGCAGAAACGCTATTAAAACCGCCAGGCGCCTGACGCGCCCGCGACCTGGTGGTTTGGAACATGGCTGTTATTTTCCCCAATAGTTGGGATGATGATCCAATCTGACTTTCATATTTTTCAGGGGGGTTGAAACCACCAACCAGTTATGGGATATATGGGATATATGGAATATATATGGGATAAATTATGGAGATATGGATATATGAATATATGGATGTATGGTTGAACCTTTGGGAAACTGTGAAACTGGGATAATGTCAACCCATGGTAAACCATGGTAAAAATTAATTAGGGGGCTACTCCTCCAATAGTCATGTCATCTAATACTTAAATGGTACCCTCCCAATTAAACAGCCTAGAGGTTTATTAATCCAGGGTTGACATTATATGGGATATATGGAAATGATCTGTAAATATATGGCTTATAAACGAAACATTTCTGGATATATGGATATATTGGAACATCCCCTATCATATATGGGATGAAATATGGGTTAGATTCATGGATTAGAAAGCACTAAAAAGAGCACACAAATGTGACTTCACTGGGACTGGAATGATTTGGTTAATAATTTATCAGGGGAACTATATATTCCAATATTCCAAAATGTGATTTATATATTATAAAGCCTTTATTCCAATATTCAAATTCCAATATTCCATTGTTCACTGCAATAATTCATATATTCCGAAATAGCCGAAGATTTCAGGTCAACAAATGTGATCATTTACCCACTATGTTTGGTGGAAGTATGATTGAATATGATGGAATTCAAGAAAAGCTGAGAGTTCATCATAACAATAATAATTGGGTAAATATTCATCATAATTAGAGTTCATCATAATAATGGATTGATGAACAATAATTATTATCATGTACCATTATTATAGCATGATTGAATATTATTGAATTCATCAGAATCATTCATAATTGGATCATAAAAAGGAATTATGGATAATTGGATAATTTGGATAATTTGGACAATTAATCACATTCACCATAAAAGTTAATTATCAATATTCACCAAGGTTGACATTCATTATACACTACTAAAAATGGTCTTTGATATGGGGATGGGTCAAAACCTACTAAAAGGACACCATATGACTGATGGTTTATCCACATCCATTCGCCATCATAGGGTGCCATCTGGGTAGGGTTTGGACGAAAATAAAATAACCATACAGGATGGTGCCTCCTAGTTAAAATTTGTTTATAAACCCCATGAATACTAGTTCGTTATATCAAGTTATATCTACCATAAACCACAATTATATATAAACCACTCAATTTTCTGAGGCACCTTAGCTTCGCTATCGAACGGGGGCCCCATCCTACGGAATCGGAATGGATGCCCTTCTCCCTCTGCTCCGTCGTGGTAGGCTTGGCCTCCCGATCGAGGCGAGGGGTTGTTTAATGACCGAAGAGAATGGAGGTTTGACCAACAGGACTTCACCAAAAATTGGGTTTAACCATGTTTAACCAACAAAGATGTACACATAATGGGGATTTCATCAGAAACAATGGGTATAAAGGCAGAAAGGGAAACTCACTGGTTGTAAATGGAGATGAACATAGATTCAACCTAACCAACTGGATGACTTTTCCCACTGCAAATGATGCTTAGCTGCTTAGCTTAGTTAAAGGATGGGACATCCATTAAGGTGGAATAGATGGGCTAATATTAAAGTAAAAACCTTAATATAAACTATTTTTTTTCGACCTTAAAAGACCGACCCTAATAAAAAGAGAGCTGGCCGCTGTGGGAGTGCACTTTTTTCCATGCAGTCATTACATTAATCATTATATTAGTCATTATATTAGTCATTATATTAGTCATTATATAAGTCATTAAATAAATCATTATTTTTTATCATTATATGAATCATTATATGAATCATTCTATGAATCATTATATTAATCATCAAATGAATCATAAAATGAATCATCATTATATCAGTCATTAAATAATTCATTATTTTAATCATTTTATTAATCATTATATTAGTCATTATATATATATCATTATATTAATCATTATATTAGTCAATAAATTAACAAGTATATCAGCCATTACAAAAATCATTATATTTATCATTATCTTAGTCATTATAAAAGTCATTAAATAAATCATGAAATGAATCACTATATTTATCATTATATGAATCATTGTATTAATCATTATATGAATCATATTAGTCATTGCATTAGGCATTATATGAACCATTACATTAATCATTATATGAATCATGATAATAATCATGATATTAATCATTAAATTCTTCATTTTAATAATCATTAAATTAATCATTATATAAATCATTATATTCATCATGATATTGATCATTTTATTTATCATTTTATTAATCATTATATTAATCATTATATTAATCATTATATTAGTCATTATATTCTTGAAAAAATAAGTCATTACATTAATCATTATATTAGTCATTATATAAGTCATTAATGAATTTTGGTTTTTCCATGGTTTTTTTTGCAGTTTGGCCTGGGGGGCGCAGGTGTGCAAATTGTAGAGACGCGCATTTTTTTGAGAGGTACTGTGATGAAAGCATCTTCACATGAAAAACATTCAAAACAACAATGGAAAAAACAAAAAAAAGTTCAGACCCATGGGCAAGGTCTGGGAGAGGCCTGGCAGGGGACATGGGTCTGAACTTTTTGTTTTCTTGGTTTTTCCATGGTTTTTTGCAGTTTGGCCAAAAACCTCGAGAACACAAAAAAGAAAAGTTCAGACCCATGGGCAAGGTCTGGGCTATCCACACACAAACCAAAAAACCAAAAAACCAAAAAAACAAAAAAACCAAAAAACCAAGAAACCCAAAAAAACCAAAAAAACAAAAAAACCAAAAAAACCAAGATTGCACACCCCAAGGGGAGGGGGTCAGATGCAGAGTGTTGGGTCTTGTCTTTTTGTTTTTTTTGGTTTTTTTGGTTTTTTGGTTTTTTGGTTTTTTGTTTTTTTGGTTTTTTGGTTTTTTGGTTTTTTGGTTTTTTGGTTTGTGTGTGGATAGCCATTGCAGATGTGCCAAGCAGAGATTGCCAGGCACTGTCAGTGGTTGCACTAGAAGCAAGGTCGATACACTACAGTACAGCAATGTTTGCTATGACATAGTGCATTCAGCCAATGAACAGCAGAGAGGAATGGAATTCAATTTTGTCCGGTTGCGCCATATGCTGTTGGATCTTTGCACAGGAAATGCTGCAATTTGCGCACTCCCACAGTGGCCTGTTAAAAAACACCCGGGGGTTGACTAGTTTTTATTATTAGGGGGTGAAACCCTGAAATGGGACCTTCATTTTTAATTTGTGTTCGAAAGGGGATCAATTAAAAATCAAATTGGCCAGTCTGAAATTTCCCCAAATTTAACGCGGGCCCTTGTTTTTAGTATTTGGGGGACGTTTAGTAAAAGGGGATGGGGATTAAATTGATATAGACCCTGAAAATAACTCATTTTTGGTGGAAACTCATCTTCCAACCCCTATCTGCCAGACTATGTTTATTTACTGGAGGGTAACACCAACTCTGCATCAATGGATCCTGGTTCTATGGGGAGTGGTACTATTGATGACCCACTTCTGAGCCCTCCTTGAGCATCGCTTCCGGTTTCGGTTTTGTTTGAACGAATTCTGGGACTAGCATTACAAATCATGAAGATGGAGAATCATGAGCATATCATCTGTAATGCAGGGGAAAACCTGACTTGATGCCCTATTGTTAACTTAGCATCAGATACCCAATCTCAGCCCCCAAACTTTCTAAACAGCCTCTGGATTCTGTTTTTTGTTCCTCCATCACTGTTTTGGTGAGCCTTTCAGATGGAAACTTCAGCCTAAGGAATCTATAACACTGGCAAAGGAAGAGGTGTGAAGGAACACCTATTGGGTTGGTTTTGAAAAGAAATGCTATGTTGGTGGAAGCACAAAATATAGGAAACTTTGAATGTTTACTAGTGCAATGCATGGTTTTCCTATACCTTTTCCCTCCATTCAATTCAAGAAGAATAAATCAGCCAACCACAAGAGCAAATAAACGGATGGTTCCTTACTGCGCGGTAAACATGTACACATTTCTAAGTTTATTTTTCAGCACCCGCATTTTTTTTATTGCCATCGGCCATCGTTGTTAATTAAATCACATGTTACACTATGTTACACTTTCCAAAACTATCGTTCAAAATCCTGAACAAATCCTAAAATCTCCTGAATTTCAAGGGGTCAATGAGATTCCGCCGTCAGATACCCTCTGGTAAATTAACAGTTGGACCCTGAAAATGACCAATTTATAGTGGAAACTAGTCTTCCAACCCCTATCTGGCAGGGTCTATGTTAATTTACTGGAGGGTAATTTTTTTTTAGCATGGACCATCAATCAAACATCCGGCGGAATTTTGAAAGCTTGTATTTGTCGAGTCGATCTTCCAGGGAAAGCCGTGAAGTGAACATCCCATGAATGACCCACGATTATCACCGAGAAAAATTAAGCATTGGCCAACCATGCAATCCCACTAAAAGCTCCCATGAAATCCCCTGAAATCACCACATTTGTCAGCATAAATCATCAGCAAATCCAAAGATCCGAAAAAATCATCCTTTAAAATCCCATAGAAAATCAGCACTGAATCCCATAGAAAATCAGCACTGAATCCCAGTATAATTTCTATATATAAATCCCTATAAATTTCTTGATGAACTCATCATTTTCCTATGGTATCCACCATGTCCCATGACTCCTTTGAAGCCTTTGAAGTCGAGTCGACGTTTTCCGAGGACGACGACGAAAATAGCCTTGGTGCAGTGGTTGCAACACTGCGCAGCTGGACGCCTCTTGGATCCGAGATCCGTCAAAAGGGATTTTTCATGTGTAGGATGTATCATTGCTGTATCTATAGATATATGTTTCATAGTTCATCATAGTTCATCATATGTATGTAACTATATCTATAGATATATATATATATATATATATATCATGGATGTGTAAGATGTATCATCATAGTTCATCATATCTGGGTAAATTTCATCACGACCGAACCCTGTTCTCCCGAAGCCTGGAAATCATGGTTTAGATGTTGGGGAAATCATCCCCTTTTATGGCCGAACTATTCAGGTTAGTGAAATATTATAATTTACCCAGATCTTATGTATGTATATATATATATATCTGTCTATCTGTCTGTCTGTCTAGCAATCAATCCATCAATCTATATATCAATCTATCAATCTATCAATCAGTCAATCAATCTATCAATCCATGAATCCATGAATCTATCATAGTATATCATATAATTATATGGATTCTGATATATATATATATATTGTGTAGATAGTGTATTAGTGGATGTATGTATGACCATTTATAATCATATATTTTATATATATGTAGCTTGGCTGGATATTAGCGAAGTTTTGGCAATTCTTATTTGGGGAAAATATGAGACGATCAACACGTCAGGGTTTACGGGTTGTTTTGGACCCACGTTCGCTTGGCGGCCGTCATTTTTTACTGTTGGTGGGGCTCCCAAAGGATAGCCAACTTCGTAAACATATCTTGATGAACTAGGGTAACTAGGGTTTATTAGGGGGAAATAACCAGCCAGTTTTTCTCGGGATTTCCAAAGTGTCCAAAAATCCTGTGGCTTAAGCGAGCTGGGATGAACAGGTCAGATTGAATTGCTATATCATCCGTTAACCATCCATTAACCATCCATTAACCATCCATTCACCATCCATTAACCATCCATTAACCATCCATTCACCATCCATTAACCATCCATTAACCATCCATTAACCATCCATTAACCATCCCATTGTTTCATGATGGATCCGGTGTCAAAGTGGGGATGTTAAGGGCGTATTGAAGCATCCACAATTGATCCTAAGATCCAGAAAAACACATGGAGGTCACTTGCCAGATGTGATCCCTTCTTGCAGCTCTGGCTGCCAGTTACCCTCTGGTAATGACTAAGGGTTAGCTATTGAAAATGGCCATAGTTAAATAGTTGACTGACCCATTAAAAATGGTGATTTTCTATAGGTATGTTAGTTTACCAGAGGGTACAGTGCAATTTTCATGATTAACTAATGTTGCATGTTGTCCTCTCCGGGAGAAATAGTTGCGATATTTCAACATACTGTGGATGGGCCAGCGAAATCTGCGCCACCAAACGGATGGTTAAACAGTTAAACCCCTATAAATAATGGGATTTTGGCCATCTATCAACTGGTGCAGGATTTCGCAACCATCCACCGTATTTCATGGGATGGCAGCCTCATAAATGGGCATGTGATCATCGGCCCGCGCGGCGAAAACACGTTTCAGGCAAGTTGTTGAGCGATGAAGAGTTCAGGATGTCATGTTTCATGATATACCCTCCGGTAATCCAAGATAACAATGGAACATTCACTATGAATCTAGATTATTTCCGAAAGGGAAAACCATGGATCCTATTTTTTTTGTTAGAAAACACTGGAGGCTATTCACGTCACAATTTCCAGGTTTCCAATATATATATATTGATATATATATACATATTGATATATATATATACTGTACAATATGTCTTTTCAAATGTCCCATCAACCACCATTAAGGTTCTCATTTCTGTTGGTTGAATCCCCGTCCAACTCCGTTGAATCATTCCCAGGTCGAGCGTTTTGGCGTCTGAAAACTCGCAGGCGCTGGCAGGCGCGCAAGCGCAAGCCTGTGGGCAAGGGGATCTAGCCTTTGGTAAACTAACATAACTATGGAAAATTGCCCATTTATAGTGAATTTTCCCATAAAAAAATGGTGATTTTCTATAGTTGTGTTAAATTACCAGAGGGTACCCTCTGGTAAACTAATGTAGCTATGGTAAATCCACATTATTAATAGGTAAATCAACTATTTAACTATGGCCATTTTCAATAGCTAACCCTTCATTACCAGAGGGTATGACACCAACAAAAACACCGCAAAAAAAGGGGCAATAGTTAGTGTATCCGGTATTTCTGTTCCAGAAGTTGGAATAGTTTAGTTCCAAAAATGCGTTTCGTCACAAACCAGAATCGTGTCAAACCAGGAACTTTGGTAAACAAGTTGTGGCGGACCTCAAATCATGGGATCTGGTCTGTTTTTACATCAAAATACATATCCATACATGGGTTTGTCTGAAAAAAGATGAACACCTGGAAAGTTGATCATCTATGGTCATATTAGCCATGAAAAATGGCTGATTTTTTCATCGGGATTAATGGACTAACCACATTTTCAGACAAGCCCATTACCCATAGGATCCATGTATGGTATATATGCTAACATTGGGGGTATATTGATGGGATCTATGTTACCATATAGCATACATGGATCCTATATGGGTTATATTGTTGGTTTCCATCGGTTTGGACTCCGAGGAGCGCCGGTCTTTGGCGGCTGCAAGCAGGCTGCGCCGGTTTGGGGTTCTTCCCCGATCTTCACTGGGAAAAACATGATGTGGTAAATACAGGGAAGTCCTCCCCCAGTTAAAATCACATGAAGATTTCCATTTTCACTGCAACGGGGAGGATTATTGGGTTGGATGAATTTCTTTCCATCAATTTTCAGTGATTTGTCGAAGGTGCAGCTTGGATCCAATAAAGATCCACATGGATTTGAAACGTACTGAAATCACCATAGATCTGGGTTTTCTTGTGACCTCACGTCGCGACCTCACTGACATGATAGTTTTTGTAGGGGTAACTATCCCAACGAATCGCCTTATTTCAGGTTAGTGACATATTTTACTTTAGCCAGCAATACTAAGTATCATTGGGATGTGAGAACAGTGGAGGATTTCAAGCCCCTACCTTGCATGGCAATCTTGAACTTGATTGAGCCCCCTGTTTGAACGGTCCTATTGTCCGAGCTTAACCTAACTGGATCCCACGAGGGCAATTTAACAGGTTGCTATCGAAAATTGCCAAGATATATATATATATATACATGATATACCCTCTGGTAAACTAACATAACTATGGAAAATCACCATTTTTAATGGGAAAATCCACTATAAATGGCCATTTTCAATAGCTATTTTGACATAACCAGAGGGTAACCACCCAGTAAAATCTTGGATAAAAAACTCCACTTGACCAGTCGATCAGAGTCCAATTTGGTGATTTTGCTATCGATGGCCATGCCAGAAATCCAGGAATTTTCCAGCGACTACCGGAGGGTAAACAGTGCTAGATAGGGTTTGGTTCACTTTGATCATGAGTGTAAGGCTTAGAACCTGAGTAGATTTAATTGTAGACCATGATACAATTATAGTAATTATTGAAATTGAAACAACATCCTTTTTAGACTTGGTTTTGGACATGGAAAGCAGCTTGGAAACACACACGCACACGCACACACATGTTTGATAGTAAAAACATGTAAAAACCCGTTTCCTAAACGGAGCTATGTAAACAAGTCTGGCAAATTGGATTATATGCAATCGGATCGACTAGACGAAGTAGATCGCTTCAGATCCGCGTGGATTGGATAGACAGATTGATCAATGTAGTAGATGCACACATAGATACATGATATGGTATGATATGATTTGATATGATGTATGCATTGTGTTTAAACATACCCTCTGGTTATATAACGTAGCTATATCACCATTCTTGATAGGCTATCATCATAAATCATCTATAAATGCATAATTTTCCGCAGCAAACTGTTAAATCACCAGGGGGTACATGTCCCCTACATCTCCACTTGCGTCCGCTCTGAGTAGATCGATCTGTTCGCAGGAGCAAAGTCTCCACCAACAAAGCCATCCAAGCCAATCCGGAGCCGAACAGTGCTGCTGCCCTGCTTCGGAGGTTACCAGTGGGTCCCAAAAAATACCTTGGGAGAAACTCACAGAAAGACGTGGACAATTCACCATGAATGTAGACCATTTTCCGAATGGGAAACCATTGTTTTTTTTCCCGCATCTATGTTAGTTTACCCAGTGGTGTAGAAACATGAAACAGAAAGAATTGGGGCTCCACATGATTGCAGCCCGCATTTCATGGTAGATGAGGCTTGTCTGCTATCCAAATGGATCTACCAATTTTTGGAGCCTGGAAGATGATCTTGGCTGGATCCATGGTTTGGGAATATCTGGATATATCTGATCCCTTCACCAGATACCCTCCAGTAAGCTAACATAGACGTGGAAAGTCCACTATTTGTAATCATTGTAAATGTTGTAGATTATTTTCACAGGGAAACCATGGGTTTTCCACATCTATACTAGTTTACCCTAGGATATACCTAAATTGAAGTGAAACTAAAGACGCACAAAGGTTTAAGGTTGAACGTGGATCCACTCTAGGTCACTTGGACATTCTTCGAACAGCAGACACAGATTGCCCCTTGGGCATATTGGAGATACCAGGAACAAACGTTGCTGTCCTTTGCAAAAAATACCAGAAGATGTTGATTTTGAAAGGCCCAGCTATGTTTGAAAAATTCCATGGACAGAAGAATCAGGTTCTCCACTAAAACAACCATTTGCGGGGGGGGGGGGTTGCGGTATACCTCATATTTGGTTTGGTATTTTCAGACTCATCATTGTTGGTCACTGATTTAATGTATCCCATAACATAGGTCACATGAATATTCTTTTCCCATTAATTGACTATATGGTCTATCCCCATAAATATCCCGTAACATTATTGTTGTAACTCTTGGACCTTATATAGCACCATAGAGGCCGCATCTTTTGGCCCAAGGACGGCATGAAAGAAGTTTAAGCCACTGATCAGCCGTGGGGATTAAAGCAGCCATGGAAATGGGAAGATCAGGGGATTAAAAAATAAGCTATACATAAAGGTATGATGTGAATGCCATGGTCAAAGCTTGGATTAGATCAATCCACATTGGGGGGGTCAATCCATGTCAATCCATTTTCATAGGGATTCATGTCCCCATGATGTGTTGGTTTGCCATTCATGTCGGTGGATGACCGTACCCCATGTATAATGATCTTGCAACTTCCCACTTTGAACAGATGAGCAGAGTGACAAGCATCGGGCGAAAATCCGCTTGTATTACTTTTTGGTTCTAGCCAAAATGCTAGCTTGGATGTGCATCCCACTTAGTAAGTGGTTTATAAAGCCATTAGTCATTAGCTATACAATACTTATATCATATGTATATATATCAGTTGACGCACATCACTTGGCAGTTTATAAACCCTTTATATCAGTTTCATCCCTCACCCACATGTTCACCAAGTTGCGTCAACTTATCTGTTTGGCACCACCTTGTAGCTTGATACAATCTACTGATGAAGAGCTATAAACATATTTGCATGTAAAATTTATTGTTACACAACATTCGTACAATCCGATCATACAACTGGCTCTGCTATATAATTATATGGAGGTTTCCTGAAATGATGGTACCTCCAAATCATCCATTTTAAAAAGGATTTTCCATGAAATAAACCATCCATTTAGGGATACCCCCCCATTTATGGAAACCCCCATATCCCATTTCGCACTATCCTTCCCCTGGTCGCGACGCGTCGATGACTTGTCCTGCGCCTGTGCCGATCCTTGCGACCGCAAAGCAGCCGGGCTACTGGCAATGTTCTCGGCCATGCAATGGTCCAGTGGGTGAGAAAAGTCATGGGTCACTGCTTACCCACCCATGGTTTATAGAGATTAGTCATATATACCAATCTGTCTACCTATATATCTTACTCATCAACCATATATAGCCAATTTATGTAGATTTTACCACAGGATGGTGCCCCCCAGTGATGTTTGTTGGTGTATAAACCCCATAAATATTTTAGTTATATCTACCATAAACCTAAGGCACCTTAGCTATCTTGGGGCCCCCATTCTACAGGGATATAGCCAATTTCTGGTAGATATATCTATAGTTTTTCTGGATGTCGATGAGGTTTACAGACTATAACGTTGCGGGCCACTGCTTTATCTATGCCGGGCATATGTTTTTTATTTTTGGGGGCTTCCTTAAGCAGATCATGATCTCAATTGACTATAGTAGCATAGAATGAGGCCACACCAGCAGGAAACATTCACACTGGGAATCTGACATATATATATATTATATATATACATGGGAAATCCAGGGTTTTTCTAGATGAGGTTCTCATGATATTCACATGTGAATGCCGAAAAAATGCAATCTGAGATTCCCGGAGGATACCCAGTCCAAAATGGATCCAAATGGGCAGGTTCAATTTTTTTCTGTCATCCCTGGTTGATGATTAGATTTGGGGTCCGGTTCTCTATCCAACATATTGGGGATGATCACAATCCATAAGCTTGGAAATCTGTTCGTTGGGAGAATGGTTTTGCAGCCACTAAAAACGAGTTCTACCCATCTGTTTTGTACAACATGCCTACAACTGGATAGGCTCGAACCAAAAACCCTATGCATTTTTTTAAAATGCATTAATGCAATCTGAGAATATCTGGGATATTAACTTACAACTACCGAATCATATCAAATCATACCAGTAGTACCGCACAAGGCGGTGGCGGAAGCTTCAAAAATAGGAAACCTATAGGAGAGGTTGGTTGTTGTGAATCACGGATGGCAGAGCGAATCCACTGATGGACCGACAGGTGGTTGGAGTTGTGTTTTTTGGAATTGGTTGCAATGGTTGCAGTGGTCACCTTACCACAACTGCTGGATGTAGTGTGGTGTAGTGCAGTTGCAGTTGTAGTAGTAGCTGTAGCTGTAGTTGTAGTGTAGTGGATCTGTAGTTGTAATGTAGTGTAATTAGTGTAGTTGCAAATGCAGTTGCAGTTGTAGTCGTGGTGTGGTGTAATTAGTGTAGTGTAGTGCAGTGTAATGTCGTGTAGTGTAGTGTGGTATAGTGTAGTGTAGTCTAGTGCAAGGTAGTGTAGTTGTAGTTGTAGTGTAGTGCAGTGTAATCAGTGCAGTGTAATCAGTGTAGTGTAGTGTATTGTAGTGTAGTGTAGTGCAGTGTAATTAGTGTAATTATTGTAGCGCAGTGTAGTGTAGCGTACTGTAGTGTACTGTAGTGTAGTATGTGTAGTGTAGTGTAATGTAGTGGTAGTTGTAGTGGTAGTTGCAGCTGCAATTGTAGTTGTAGTGTGATGCAATGTAATCAGTGTAGTGTAGTGTTGTGTAATGTAGTGTGGTTGTAGTTGTCGCTGTATTTGTAGTTGTAGTGCGCTGCAGTGTATTTAGTGTAGCGTAGTGTAGTTGTAATTGTAGTTGTAGTTGTGGTAGTAGTTGTTGTTGTAGTTGTTAGTGTAATTGGTGTAGTGTAGTGTAATTAGATGTAATTAGTGTAGTGTAGTGTAGTTAGTGTAGTGTATTGTAGCGTAGTATATTTGTATTTGCAGTTGTAGCAGTAGTGTAGTGTAGTGTAGTGGTAGCTGTAGTTGTAGTTGTAATTGTCTATCTATCTATCTATCGATCTATCGATGTCTCGATCTATCGATCTCTCGATCTCTCGATCTCTCTCGATCTCTCGATCTCTCGATCTCTCGATCTCTCGATCTCTCGATCTCTCGATCTCTCGATCTCTCGATCTCTCGATCTCTCGCGATCTTGCGATCTAGGGATCTAGCGATCTAGCGATATTCTAGCGATCTATCGATCGATCGATCGATCGATCTATCTATCTATCTATCTATCTACTATCTATCTATCTATCTATCTATCTATCTGTTTGTCTGCCTGTCTGTCTGTCTACCTGCAAGCTTGGAAACGAAGCAATTCTGCGAGACTTTCTCGATTTTTGAAGTTGGCAAGATCCAAAACGAAGCAATTCTGCGAGACTTCCTCAATTCTTAAACTTGGCAACATCCAAAACGAAGCAATTCTGCGAGACCTCCTCAATTTTTGAACTTGACAACATCAAAAACGAAGCAATTCTGCAAAACTTCCTTCAAAAATGGAAAGTTGAGTGCAGAGCTGCCGGCCTCGTACCAATGCGTTTGGCGATTTTTCCACTTCATGCCTCTAAAGTATTGCGCTTGCCACGAAAAATTGATGCCAGGTCATACGAAGTGCTGCACCTGTCACGCAAAATCATCTTCCCAAAACTGAAGATTTGATGCTCCAAAATGCAACCCCTCTCAGGAAATCAGCGCCCTGACTTTCCCACGCCTGCCATCGTTTTGGCAACTGCTACAAAACCCTCACGTTTTGCTCACTTTTGACAAGGTGCACAATCCCTTGCGCCTGCCACGCGAAACGACATCTGAACGTCAAAAAGTGGTCCGAGCATGTGGTGTCTTTAACATTTTGACTTCGAAATGTGCTTCGCGCCACAACGGCGTGCACTTTTTCGACATCTCAACTTCCAAAAGTGGTCCGAACCTGGTGTGTTTTGTACATTTTGACTTCGAAATGTGCTTCGCGCCACAACGGCGTGCACTTTTTCGACATCGCAACTTCCAAAAGTGGTCCGAACCTGGTGTGTTTTGTACATTTTGACTTCGACATGTGCTTCACGCCACAACGGCGTGCACTTTTTCGCCATCTAAACTTCCAAAAGTGGTCCGAGCATGGTGTGTTTTGTAGATTTTGACTTCGAAATGTGCTTCGCGCCACAACGGCGTGCAATTTTTCATCTCTCATCTGGCCACAATGGCTCCGCACCCGCCGCTTTAGCGAGCCTTCTTTTCGACCCTCCGGAGCCACAAATCATTGGAAAAATAGAGTTTTTCGCGACTTTCCTACCTTTTCGCGCGCCTGCATCTTCTTTCTTCTGACTCTTTCTCTTCTCTGATCTTCTGTCTTCTGCTCTTCTCTCTTCTACTCTTCTCTTCTCTCTGACTCTTCCCATCTCTGCTTTTCATCTGTCCATATTGTCGGAAGTTTGACTTCTAAACTTCCTTCGGTCAACCATGGCCATGATAGCAGGAAGCGTTCCTTCCAATGCTCCAACCGAATAGCATACTGAGGCGATGTGGGCAATGGCCGCAGCAATTGGGTGGATTTTCAGTGGCCCTTCTCAGCCATCCTTGAACAGGTCGCAGTGGGGAGTGGCCTCTGCTACCCGCGGTACCCAGTAATCAAACCTGGCAATTGAAGTGCAGCCGTTGCCAGAATTATAGAACAGAATTAGGAGTACAAAAGAACGGTAAAATACCGTTCTCCTCAACTTCCGTTCAAAAAAAAATGTGGCAACGACCATACACCATTTAGTTCGGTGATTTTCCCAGCGAACTAAACCTCCATGACTTGTTGGGGGATTTGCCAAAACGCGGCCCGCCACGTTTGATTACCAGGGCTACGGCAACCGCGTATTGAGTACATTGGTAAAACTCACCAGCTAATTAATATAATATTATAATATTGGTTAGTATTAGCCCATATTAAATCATGAACCAAATAATTATGAGTGTTTTAACATGAGTTATTTTGACATTGGCTCAAAAAGCACATGAAATCACATATTAAATCTAATGTTCATTACTTATTGGCACAAGCCATTATAGTTCCAGTATCCAAAAAGCCATTCATAATCATTATGATCCCAATGGCCAAACACCTACAAATTTCCCATCGATATTCCCACTATACCACCATTTTTCCAGCATTTTTTGTTGGTTCAATCCCCATTTGGTCAGCATTTTTCTTCCCTTCACCGCCATGTCAGGCCTTCTGTTTAGGCTGGCCATCGGTGGACTTTCGACGAGGCCGCCCTGGGTTTAACATATGGGGGGATGGGTCAAGTTACCTATGAACTTACCAGGTAACTGGTGGAATAACCATCCATTAACCAGCCATTTTAGGGACCTAGTAACATATATATATATATATATTTACCATTATAGTTGTGGAAAAAAATGTTGTTAATAATATACGGAATACATGCTTAAATGGTGTCGGGATGCGAATATCAGGGTTGCTCCAAGCCATTCGAAAAGTAACATCCTGGAGATGGGCTGATGATAGCTGAGACTGCAGCTCGAGTAAATTGCTGTCTAGTGACTATAGTATGAATAGATATCAATAGTATATAGTGGTTAAGACCAACTATAGATACCATACTATAGATGGTGTCTAGTACGGTTAAGCCCTACCTCAGTTAAGCGTTTTCAGCGGTGATGCCGTCTTTTAGCCACACTGTTTGTTTTCAGAAATTGCTGCTCATTCGTAAACTGTTGCTTTCAGCGATTCAGCTTTACCCAACTTTGGTTTTCAGCGCTTTTGCCAGATTAACCCATACTTTTCTTTGCAGATCTGCCGCTTTATGCATCGCAATGCCTTGTTTTCATCGATTTTGCAGTTTCATCTAATTTCGAGTGTTTATACAGGCGATGCCGCGAAAACATCTGGTTTTACCAGAACCCTGTGTTAGACAAGAAAGCAGTGGAGCGCAAATTAGCGCCATTAACTTGCAGCCGTCGTTCCTGATACAATAAAATGAATAGGAGGAGACCACCCCAGAGAAGATAACAAAAATGATCAAAAATGTAAGTGCGTGATGTATTATTTCCTTGGCGGGGTTGACTTTATCCAGCATCATGTTTTCGCTGTCACAAGTCGAACAAATTAAATCAGCGATGATCCCGATACTGTTCTGACATTTTAGCGGCTATTTTTTACCGCTAGAAAAGAATATATATACCGGTTGTGAAACCGGTGGACTTCATGTAATGATGAAAAAAGGGAAAACATGGCATAGAAATCAGCAAACACACTAATGAAATATATTAAACTTAAAATATATTAAAATATTTAATATAATACATCATAATTTGACGAGACCCTTCAAAAACAACCAGCTCTTTTCCCAAAACATAACTCTTCAGCTGACTTTTCCTGACTTTAAAGATTTTGTTTGGGTATAACTAATTATAAGACCCCCGGTGCACTGTAGTATCCCCCGTTAACTATCATGGTACAAGATGGTTTACCAACCGTGAGCTAGTGGTCCTTGCTTATCAACCCAATTTATGCTTTCATTTTTTTGGAAAATACGATGCTTTGAGGACATGACAACGTGGTGCCGTTCAATTTTTTCGCACAAAAAAACATTCTGGGACAGGCAAAGAAAACACAAGAGGCCAAAAGATAAAAACTCCATATCATGTGTATATATGTATATACTATACAGTAACCCCAGCAAAGACAGAAACACAGTAGATAATAATGTATCGCTATTTTGAATTCGGATTTGACTTTTCTATCTATATATCTACATATAATATACAAATGTGATATCCACGTATATTCACATATATACTATTCTACGCCTTAAATCTTTTATATTGGCTTCTAATGTTGAGAGCGTTACATCCCCCACTTGGAGGATCACCATATACAACTCGTAGCTGGTGACTTCCTTGTTAAACCCTGATTATATAACTGGCTTCTTCCACATTAATGAAAGTAACTGGTTAGTTATACTAACCCATCAATTGGCTCATAACCACTTTTTTAGTGGGTTCTTCCATATATAAATGGCTTACCTGTCGGCAGTTCCATGATTTACCTCAGAAACATCCATGGTTTCTACGGGGTTTTTGCAATGTTTGATGACACCGGAGACTAATCACTTTTTTTTTTAAATAGTCTCTGGTCATTTAACATATCTATGGACAATCACAATTTTTAATAGGTAAACCGTCTATAAATGGGCCATTTTCCATGGCTATGTTAAATAACCAGAGGGTACCATATTTGATGGTTACGTATTGTTAAGTCATCAATTTTTCCCATTCAAACCTCCATTGATTGGGGATTTCCATAGCTATAACCCCCTCAAAAAAGATATATGGTTTATGAAGCCTAGTAACATCTAGTAGTCATACGCGCTGACACCATCGTGTGCCCAAGAATTCGAAGGCCACAACATGTACACATGTCTTAAGCTAACTATCAATACATGTTGATCCGCATAACATGATCATATATGTTTGGATATTGGTCATACCATGCGGATTCAAACATAGATGCATGGAACTGGTACCATGATTGGATACATATATTACCATGTGGGGTCTCTGTTCTGTTTTCACAACCAGCTAATTAATCATGCTGATTCAATGTTCATCCATATCTGAAGTTCATGGCAACATTGACACTTCGCCGTGCCGCAGTAACATACAGTCGCGGCCCAAAGGGAATGAAGGCTTGGCAGGTCTTTCTTGCTACAACAAATGACCTGTATGATCACAAGACTACCATCTTTCCCATGACCCCTGAAAGATACATAGAATTACCATTTAGGTTGGGGGGGTGTTGGGGGGGG